GTGCACAAGTGTTGGTGAATTTTTGAAGGAGAAGCGGCACCACTCAGAACATTCATTAGGTTTGTGTGAAGTGAGTTCGTAAATGAATCCTGTTCATTGCATTGTTTCTTTAAAGCAAGGCTTCCTAAAACATTAGCAACAGCACTGTACACTGAGATCCTGTGGTCATATGTGAGGCTTCCTACTACCAGCTGGAAGAGATACAGATGTCATACCCATATAGCTGAGAGTCCCACAGGCCTCCGTCATCATGTTGTCAATCCCTACACCACCTGTCTTCACCGATAATCCAAAGTCTGTCACCTAGGTGGAGAACAGCACTTAAGAAAAGGTTCATACAAATAAACAGGATGTAGACACGCTGACAACTCGTATTAAATTCTTTGTTAAAAGTGTTTCTGTCAGGATAAAGGCAGAGCTCGGGCGATTGTTGACAGTTTATATGAAACAGCTGCTCGGCCGTTGAGGCTGTAGAGGTCCATATATTTGCAGAGGGCTATCATGTTATTGCAGGAGACAAAAAGTTGAGAAGAAAAGGCGAACTCCTGTGAAATGAAAGTCATTTATGCTGTGCAACGACAACAATTTCTTAAAACGTGTACAGTAAGTGTGTGTTCATCTGTGTGTCGACAAGAAAAGAGAGAGGGAAAAAAAAAACAAAGAGAAACGGGGACATTTATGCGCCAGCCGAGCCTTGTTTTTAGTTCACACACCAGGTATCTGCTTTGGCTGGCTCATCGTCAATCCACACAACATGCTGTGCTCTGCTGGTCATTTGTTTAAAAGCACAGTTTAGTGTCTCTTTGTAAAGGTGTACTATAAAAGAAGACCAGAGGGAGTCTATCATAATGAGGTAGTATTTAAAGCCTTTGCTAACTATAGAGAAGACTGTGGGCGAGGAAAAAGTGCCCTTCTGAGGCTTACGCTCGGTTCAGCAGAGAATGACAAAGAAACAGCGATGGAAAGTTTCACAGTTTGTGTCGCCATTTTACCTTGATATTGATGCTGTCGCCGTCCTGTTTGAGAGAATTTTTCACGAGAATATTCTCAAGTTTCAAGTCCCGATGCGCTATAACTGTAGGGTGTAGAGCAAACAAAACATTTCACGCAGAGATTATTGGCGTTGCAATCGATATTTAAATCGATATTGTTCGATTAACAGCAGATCATGTCGGTGTCAAAGGGACACTTGTGAATTAAACCGCTGATAATTACAACCTAACTTTGGTAAATCACTGATCTTCATCACAAATGAGTAGTTTGTAAGTTTTCTTGTGTTTGCTCCGTGTTTCTCCCACCCCACTCATAAGCATGCTGCTGTTCACGGTAATGCTCTTGACGAAGGCCCGGCTGATTTTCATGTGCTGCACTGTGGAGGTATGCTGCTCCAAAATGGTTAAGAATGGTAAAGCAGAGGGCACACGTCGCCACGGAGATTAATAAAGGCTGAGTTAACGACGTAGTTTAACGAAGTGAGCTAGCGGAACGTGAAAAGTCTTGAAACGTTTTAAAAAGTCAGTAACAAATTTAGCTGAAAATAAAGGTGTTGTTTATGTTCAACATACTTTGGTTTCTTGTCTTGAATTGTGTGCTCATCAGCCACGACACTAGAACCACCTGCCCATCGAGGCGTATACACAGGACCTCCAGCAGTGTCCAGTTGCATTCTGGTACCACGACGTTGGCAGCAGACCCTTTGAGCCCTGGTGATTGCGGGACGGTTCTTTTGTGGATCAGCTCTGTTGAAGTGCATCTTGATACTCGATACGGTTGGGATCTGGGAGTTGGAGTCGATCTCTTTTTCATGTTCTTTGGACCATCCCTGAGCAGTTTTCTGCAGTGTGGCGGGGCGCGGTGTCCTACTGGGGGAGGCCTCTGTGATGGATAAGCGCCGTTGCCGTGGGGTTGTATGCTTGGACGGGAACTATGTTTAGGCGGGCGGTAAATCAGGACACGAGATTTCCCAGCAGAACATTTCTTTGCAAGGAGGCGAGCAACGCTATACACTTCACCTGGCAGTGGTTTTAATGTTGTGGCTGATTGGTGTTTATACCAAGAATTGGAGTCAGAGTTGAACTGTTATAAAAGGACATAAGGGTAAAATGATTTGCTGAGGTCGGTCTCGAGTATACGCTATATTTCGCACACACTAACACAGTGATCTGTTTGCTTTGCCTACAGTAGTCGACCAGGCTGAAGGGCCTCGTTAACAAAACTTGGAGGAGTGTGGAAAGGCAGGAGGAAAAATACAATTTGCCCGGGGCAGTCGTTTTTGCTGCACTGTTTGAAGCAACCAATTATACAATGCAACAGTGTTGATGGTGTGTGAAAGGCAAGTTAGAGCAGCTGGTGTGAACAAAACAAACACCTGAAAAGATCCTTTCTCCCTTTACCATTTAAGAGGTTTTTTGCTCGGTAATTCCTTTTAACTGCTCGCGGCAGCTGAACTCTCAATTTTCCATTCATAATTTATTAATTACACACACTGTAAATAAGAATCACGAGGTAGTCCTGCATATTTGGGGGAATTAAAGAAAATAATAATGAGAAGAAATCATATTTACCAACTATAACTTTTATGTTGCATTTATTTTTTAGTCGGAATCCTCATTGAGAAATAGTACAATTTATTACAGGTTAAAGGTAATATTTATATGGGAATGCCAAATTGTCACGAGTAGTTGTGTTTCAAAACCTCAGCTGGCCATAAATACAGCTACGACTAACAGCTGGAAGTGACAACTGGTGGCTGAGGCTGACAGAAGACAGCAAAAATGTACTAATCTGAAAAAAAACCTGACGAAATGTAGACACAGCAGTTTGACAAAAAAGGTTCTGGATACCTAATACAACGCCAGCACGTTCTCCTTAGCATCATCAGTCTTTGTAGTGGAGAGGAAAACCTGCACAGAGGGACTTTCCATGTAAAAACACCTGTTAATCAGTGTTGCTCCCTGGCTTGTTGTAAATTAGTCATTAGCCACATGTAATGATACCTCATTGCCAAGTAATGTCCTGAATTACCTCTAGCCAAAGACTTTACCATTAAAAGGGGGAAACAGCATTTCCAAATAAAACCGATTTAATTAAAATGTTTTTTTTCCCTGGCAGCTGTTCATTATTGTTATTTTATCAAAATAAGGCCCATTTCCATAATGACTGAAAACCATAATGGCAAGGAATCTCACATCTTGGAGGGCAACGTAATTTGAATATAATAATGGCAGTATGGTGCTGTTACAAATTAACTGAAGCACACTTTATTTAAAAGACGGTCTGAACTCTGCTACAACTAAAACATAATCCAGTGCAGCATGTTGTAGGCTGGAGTATAATTAATGCAGATAAGATCGTTTTCAACGCTCTCACAATGTCAGTCTGCAAAATTACATTACCTCTTTTATGAAGGTAGACAACGGCGTCGGCTAAACTACAGATTATATTTCTTGTCTCATCCTCTGTGAAGAAGTTTTTTTTCTGCAACAGCTGCCTCAGGTCACCTCCTTTGCACAGCTCAGTCACCAAGTAAAGCTTCTAGATACCAGAAGAGAAATGCATCTTAGTTCATTTGTGTGCTTATCAGTAGCATTTATGCAGAGCCATATAGTAACAGGAGATTATTGTATGTTGCATGCATTACACTCACCCACTCATTTAATTACGCTCACTTTGAATTTGTAATTTGAAGGACAGCGATGCTTACTGTAGGCGTGCGGTAGACTGCCTCGAGGTGAATTATGTGAGCGTGATTCACTCGTTTGAGAATGTCTATTTCGTTATCCACCATCACAACTCTCGAACTTCCTGCCTGGTGTGGCAGAAAGTCAAATCGAAGCGGCGTTTGTTTCTCTCCAAACATGAAGCTCTCTTAATAAAGCAACTTTTCATCGCATTAGAAAACAGGCTTCCCAGAGGGACGCCGAACACACTCACCGCTGGTCTGCGAACCTCCTTAATAGCCCATTTAGTTTGCGTCTTAATATGGGTGGCTTCATAAACATCTCCAAAGCTACCTTGACCCAATTTGATTCCATAGTCATAGATTTCCTGCGGGGATAAAGAAGGAAAGAAAACATTAATACATTTGTAATATCCACCGTCACACTGTCAGTCAAACACAGCAGAGGATTTCCCCCGAGCTCGTGTTCAGGCTTCAGGATCATTTCACGATTGTTTTTCAAAAACATTATGTCTTAACTCAAGTCTTGAATTCCAAAGTACATCCTAATTTAAAGCTCTCTTTTAAAAAAAAAAAATAACTCAAAGTTTTCCGGTCTCTAGAGCTGCAGAATATAGTATTTTTAATCAAGTTACAAATGATTAAGTTGCTGCTGCAGTTCGTTCAATCTCAGGTCTAATTAACTTGATTATTATCTGTGTGCATGCAAGACTGAGCACTGGCTGCTTCGGATTTGGCAAAGGGAGCAGTCAAATTCCCCGATGAGGGGGGCTATACAGCAGCAAAGTGGAGTCTGGTCCTCGACTGGTGCACATGGAGTGTACTATGGAGGTCACCGGTGACTATGCACGTGTAGAACTTGTTCATTGGTGAGCGGATGGTGGGACTGTGGGGGAATCATGTATAGACGCTCTCCATACCCTGAGGTCCTTGTCATCTTTCAGCCGTGTGTCAAGCACGTCCCTCTTCGGTGCATCCCTACTGGTCATCAGGTTCATCTGCACGTGGGAGAAGGGGGCAGTAATTATCTGTGTGAAATTAGCCGAGCCACGGCATGATAGGCATGTCCCAGACAAAACAAATTCTCAACTGACAAATAATTGCACTTATTTGGCGACCCAATTAGTTATTTTAATAGAAGAATCTGTGGAATTGTTTTTCCACTCTCGCTATTACTGCAGATGAATGGAGTCACGAAGAAAGATTTCTTAACATCTGCTCATTAAGGACCAACACATGTTTTTTAATATCGCTGCGGTGCCACATTTGCGACCATCTTCCAACATTAATTACTAAAAGCAAAAGCCCAACCTTGAGATTAATCAACTAAACACGTCCTAGTCAACCAAGTACGGTAGACAGTTCTCTCATTCTTTCATGACCCAGTTTACTGTCATTTCTAATCATCAGAGCCTAATCAATACTGGACAAATAGGAGTCTACAACCCACACACACTGCATTTGCAGCAATACAGTGACACACACAAATATTCTCTAACACAAGGAATCACAACTGCTATCATGAGATGAACAAAACACTTTTAATTGAAGCTTAATTTACCAATTTAAGCTCATTAAGCTATTTCCACAAGTTTACTTTTCAAGTGCTGCACAGAATCACTGAAACTTTTCTTCTCCAAGTCTAACTTGTCACTTTCTTTTAATTATTTTTTTTATTGCTGGTTTATGACCAAACTGCTGTCTCTGTCTGAGCCCATATTCACTTTAAGCACAATTTACCCTGCTTGAAAAACAGTCTCTAAAGCCAAATTAAATGTAAAGCAATTATCAAGTGATGACTGGGAGCGATGAAGTGGATCCACCACACGCACAGCAATTAATTATTAACAAGGAAGCGGTGTCTTTAACCTCTTCACTCTGATGCATTATTTTAGCCCTGACAGGCCTCTCATAACAGGCCTGTCTCTCCCATTATCTCCTGTCTATTTTCCAATCAAAACGATTGTGACAGCCTCTGGAAATTCCAATCACCTCAATCACAGCTCATTTGTGGAAGACAGAGGCATGTGATGAGTGTATCACTGAGGACTTGAGGTGACTGGAGAAGGGTCTCGTGCACCTCAGGTGTCTCCCACACAAAGACGCCTGGTTCTTGGCCCCAGATCTCTGATGCAAAGGAAATAAGATATCAAGGTCAGGTTCGGGTGAGAAGTCTGACCTAACAGACACAGGTCTTGAATTGCTTTAAGGCTGGAGTGCTTATCTGCAATCTCCACACCTGTGTTTTAAAGCAGTGGTTCAAAGTACAGGTCAAAACACAAAATAGATTACTTCCTTAATTCTGTTTTTTATAACCTGAGGCCTTTAAAGGCTACAGACACAAAAATGATGAGACTGGGCCAAACTGCACACAACAAATACTGCCTTCAGCATTGCACAAGTTTTTTTAAAAAAAAGCTTCAACTTCTTTTTCACCACCAGTAAGGAAATTGACCAAGAGGGCAGACTGCAACAGGCAGGAGGATCCAGTTATTCCCCCCAAATCCAACCACTCTTTGGTAGACCTGCTCCAGACAAACACTCAGAAACTTCTAATGGAGCGTCAAAGACAGAATTATGTGGTGGTTTGCAAAAGATGCCCACGTGTGCTCGTGGCATGACCAAATTGTTGGAAATACACAGCGGCAGTGGGGAGGAATTTGTACCCCTGTGGCACTTGTGCACCTAAAATGCTTTTCATTAGGGCTACATTTTCTGTCCAGGTGCCTGTACATTAGCACTTACGATGTGAAATTTTAAAACCTCCCTGAAGGACCAAGTCTAGACTGCTTCTCCTTTTTCTTGCCTTGATTAAGTCAGCAATCGAGCACTACAGAACTCTGCATATGGAGTTTCGGGTCAGTCCTCTACATAAAGGACTGACCCAAGAATAAATACAGAGCTGTTAACTGGGTCAAGAAATGACAAAACAGCCTTTGTTCTCCCACAGACACACTGAAAGACAAGCATACATCAGTACACACCCCAGCCCCAAGGAGACGCAGACTGAGGTCCACCTTTTACATTGAGTCTGCCTCATCTCCAGTTTCAGCAGGAAGTAATTAGAGCCGACAGTTCATCACAGGTCAAGTCCATACCTGCCTCACCCCTCCATCATTCTGTCAGACAGCAATTTCTGCTTATTTGCACTACTGAGTGAATAAATATACATAGCACCTAATGACGGGAAACGTTGAGGAGATATATTTTCCCAGAAATAAGCATGCAAAATCAATGTCGGGCTGGAACAAAGAGAGCAGGTACATGCAAGGAATGACTGTGATGCTTTGAAACTTTTCTGCCCTTAAACCTGCACGTCTCAGCTTAAGATAATGTATGTCGTCTCTCACACCTCATTGGCTGTAAGGACTCTAAACTGTGCCCAACAGATAAGTAAACATATCACTTTGAGCTGTGGGAAATGACAGACATTTATATTTTTCGTTTTACATTTTATAGACTGAATAGTGGACCTACTAATTAATTATCTACTAATTGCAATCTGTTATCAATAAATGATTAAAATAGCCATTATTTGAATCACTCATGGCATAAATAAGTTCCCACAGAGAAAATGGAATACGCTATTAAAAAATACAGTGTCAAAGAAAGCAGTTACCACTTTTCAATCTCAACCCAATCATCGAGATATTACACATTTCAGCTATTGCTCAGGGTCTTTCAGAGTTTGCTTACTTTAATTGCATAAATACTAGAATAAATTAGGTTTGAATTCAGTCACATTGCCTTTAGCTGTAACAAGCAGCTGCTAAAAAATAGCCTGAAAAACAAACAACAAAAAAAACCAGAATCTTACTAACCGCAATTAAAATGTACACCGCTATCCGTTTTGCTTGAGCCCCAATATTACATTTTACTCATGTGAAACTTAATCATTTATTGACAGCTTGGCTTTGATGACAAATGATAAACTTCACAGTGCTAATGAAGCGTGGAATTACATTACCTGATGAGGCAAGAAATTGCATGTTTAGAATGCAAATATCCCATCTACTTCACTAAGTTATGGAGTGAATCCAAATATTATGCACGGAGATTATCAAAGCTTGTGGTCTAAATGTAATATACCGAGAGCACATCAACATTAAACCATTAAAGCCTACAGCAGGCTCACTAAAGAGCTGTGAAAATACACTGTACCTGACAGCTGACGGACCAGAGAGGTGTTTCTGTGCTGCAAACAAGTAATGCAGTTTCCCCTATAAACAAGTAATTTAAAGGCCCCTCCAAGAATGCCTGCTGTCTTCAATGGTCATGTTTGATAAGTGTCTATTGGCAAGAAAACATGCTTCGCCAAAAGGAAGCAAAAGATCAAATTCTGCAATTTGCTCAGGGCACTCCACATGTTGCTAGGAGATAAGGGCCAACAAATTCAAATTTTCTCATTGGTTTAATCCTGGTTAAAGCTAATCTCTGCCCTTGCTGGGCTCAGCCTTGGAGAAGCTAGGAGGGCAGACATGTGGGAAAATGTAGGCCACGGCAGAAACAAGAGCGAATCAAACACATTTCAATGAGGAAAACTCGTTCATATCTAAACACACGAATGAGGCAGTTATTCATCGTACAAGCTGCTGAGCGTCTAAACCTAAACTACAGTTTGGTTGATATAGTAGCAGGTGTTTTACATGTACAGTCCCTGTTGTTTTTTTTTAATTAAATTGAGACTACTGAATAGTCTGAAGCACTGAAGCTAACTCCTAAAACAAACCGCCCGTTAATTAGCTAACTAGCTACGAGCTAGTTGTGTTACAAACAGCTAATTAACGTTTACTAAACGCCTGACACCTCTTTAAAAACAACACAAACAAACAAAAAAAAACAGGACAGAGATCATCTACCAACCGTGAGCTGCCCGCTGAACGTCTTGTACCGTCACCAGAGACCAAACTAGTGCCGTTAAAACATTAAATAAGGCAGAAAGCTGACAAACTTCCAGCGCGGCTGCACTGCTAGGTGGTAGCAACACGTTGCCATGGCAACCGGACGGACCCGCAGCTGCACGAGCGTTTCCTCACGAGACCAAATAACGAGAAGAAGAAGAAGAAGAAGAACCAGGAAATAAGAGATGCACAAAATCAAACAGGCGTCCAAACTCATGCCAGAAAAAAACAACAACAACTCAAAGAAACGCGTCTCACCTCTCGGAACAAATCATTTTCTGTCCGCAGGTCGCTCTTCACGCACAAAACTTTGTCGAGGGGAAGCGAAGAGGGACAAACTTCCGATGAACGAACGAGGGCTCCTTCAGGGGAGGCTTTATGTGAACTAGATCACCGATCAGGTTGATTGATCCAACACTTTCACCGGATTTCCAGCCGGCAACAGAAGCTCATCTTCCCTGGTTTTACCACAGAGCGATGAGCCGCTGTTTCCTTCTGCCACCTGGAATTTACTCGGTCCTTAGTCTCCATCTAGTGGATGAAGTGAAAGGTTTCCTCCGGGTTTACATGAACAATATTCATTTTAAAACAATTACACTGCAGTTATCTGTTTAGAAATAAGATAATCATTACCTTGGGGAGTCAGTTAATCAGCTGTGATCACTAATTGGCAATTAAATATACAGAAAAAAAGATTTTAAATAAAAGTTTGGATCTCTAAATGACATCAGAGAGGAAAGGTTAAGAATAAGTGATGGGTTCAAACTGTTAATTCCTGTGAGTAATGTAGCTATGGGAACAGACACCAACAGACTTCTTTCTATTGAAGTATTTTACTAAAACATGCTGTTATTGATGCAATCGGTTCGTTCACAGTCACTTGACACCAGCAGCTTGTAGCTGGTGCAGCTGGCTTTAACACCCTTTTTTCTTCACTTCAAATAAGATAAGAATTTCTTGTCTTATCAGAAATACCGCAGTATTCCCACAACTTGAAATTCTTTGTGAAAAACATCTGCGCCAAACTCACAACATCAGTCACATCTCATTTTTAATTGCTGCTTTGAAGTTGTTTGGTTTTCAATTAGTTCTTTTAGATGTTATTTATCATTTCTTTCTGTGGATTTAGCTGTAACTTTTTGTAATTGTGGGCTAGTGCTTCTGGTTTTTTTTCAGCAGTGTGGGGCAGCAGTTTGACTTAAAGGCTTCGGCTCCATTTAGGTTAAAATGTTCTGACCGGTCCGTCGACGGGCTCGTCTGTAAATCTTTAACATTTACTGTTATTCAGGCAGCTTGAACTTTAATCTTGGCTTGAGAGTTAACCGTACCCTCGCAAACTAGACTTCAAGTGGTTGTGTAAGAGTCGACTGGATGCCTGTTCTTCATTTTCTCAATACTGAAAAATAAAAGCATGTCGCCGTAATTCAGCGATTAATTGAAAGCAGCAACATCATTTATTTGTAAGATTGCCTCCAAAACAAATGTAAGTTATGAGATACATGAAATAACAGCGAAATCATCTTTGCTAGGCCAAATGTACAGCATAGATTGAGCAGATTTATGTAAATTAGAATATCACCAGTCACTGGGAAAAGCAACAACAAATAACTGTGTAGTTATAGGTAAAATAAAAAAATAAAAAAAAATAAAAAGTTTTATAACCTTAACATCAAATCAAGCCATCTGTAATACAGAATGTACATGCATACAGTTTTGGGAGATACAGAAACAACAGTTAGAACTGAGAAGTATTACTTGCTTTTTGTATTGAAATAATACCAAAGCACAGCTGTGAAATGATCGGCAGAGCAAATTGTCCTCACACCAGCTGAACTGCAGCGTTTAATCTCAGCATAATGTTTGAGAGCTCCACTCGGGCTTTATCTCCGTTGAAATGACAGTTTTTCATGCTGCTGGTGCATACAATCAAACTACATATTATTCTTTTCAGAATGTGAGATGTCATTACATGTCGGTCAAACTGGTGTTTGGAAATGCTCGACCAGTACAAAATGCCAGCTGGATCCAGTCACATGCACTCCAATCAGTGACCGCCGACTTCCTCCATCAGACGGACTTCCGCCTTTTACCAAAGACGTTATTGATGAGTTTGGCCATGGACTTGGAGCCGCTGTACCGTCTGCGGCCTGCACAGTGCTTGAGGTTATCCATCACATGACGGATGAGCTTCGTGAAGAGGTTTGATATCTCCAAGTAGTCCTCTGCTGCAGACACCTCCTGGAAGTGGCAGCGCTCTTCCTGAGCCAAGGCCCGTCCCTCCTCCTCGCACACCTGCCGGGCGTTGCACAGGTCCTGCTTGTTCCCCACTAAGAACACTGGAATGTCCACCAGTCTGCCACAGAGGAAGGAAGGTGGGTCATACAAACGGTGCTCTCGGATTCTCTCTGGTCTTGATGCTCAAACTGACCCAAACAACAACATCAGTTCATTAAACATTTCCTTTGAGTTCTTTCTATGGTTTGCTGAGAACATCTGAGCAGCAGGAATCTAGGAAGCTACTGTCCTTCTAAGCACAAACAGCAACATGTTGTCGTGTTTACTGCTTGTCTATTAGCATTGTTAAGCTGAGTCGAACAATAAATCTGATCGCTCATATTTGCTCTGTTTGACCACAAATTGAAGCTGAGCTCCGTGGATGGATCCTCCCCTGCAGCGTGTTGGAATGCGGCCCCTAACTCACGGCATACCGCGCTGATCTTTACCCTGATAGGCCGACGCTCACTCATCTCAGGAATGGGGCTCATAAAAGTAAATCCCTCAGCTCAGCTTCATTACCAACTGACTATGGTCACTCACCCTTTACTGCTTTCCTCTCGGGCCTCTTTGATCTGCTGCAGGACGCTCTTGGCGTGGAGGAAGGACGTTCGGTCACTGATGTTGTAGACCACCACAAAGCCATCGGCCCAGTTCACAGGCTCCTCCTGGATGCACGTGTTGCCTGAACTCTGGCACAGCAAAGGTGGACGGAACGTCGATCAGCTCATCTGACTACAGAAGCTGTGGCATGTTTTTAAAAACATGGCACACTTCATGGGACTCTATATCTCTAACCTACTGCAGAAAATTCTGTAAAGAAATATTGAGGAACAGGATAAAACATATGAATAAGGAGGGCAATGAATTGGGTACAGAACAGCATTAAGCAGGAATCCTGTAGTGTAGGACTCTGGAGGTTTGCAGGTGATCAAGGTAACAACTAAAGATAATCAAACCTGCTTATTGTTCATATATTCTAAACCTTTAAAGGCTGCTCACCCACAGCAGCAGGCTCTACATTAAAACCACTCCTACCTGTGAACACGAATCAAATATTTCCAAGTTTAACTGTCTCCCGTCAATGGACATCCTTTTATGATATAAAGAATCTGCAATGAAAAAAAAGAAAATTAAGAAAGCAAATTTGCTATTAAAAAACATCATAAATCAAATGTGAACTACTGAACATTAATACAAGCAGAGAGTCAAATGCAGCAAATGAAAATGCACAAAGCTTTCTTAGAGGCAATGAGCACAGCGTGGTGCCAGTTTTGCCGAACTGTGGAACAATGATTATTATATTTACTGTGGTGCATGATTGCTCAGAGGGGGCTAACGAGTAAATTAATTTAGGCCTGAAGTGAAAAGGATTGAAATGTTATACCCCCCCGCCCCCTCGCAAAACTGTAATTCTATTACAGTCTGTAAGATAAATACTGAGCGATGGTAAAAATGTGCCCGTCATTGATTCCAAACTCGTATAAAACAGACAGAAAAGGAGGTTTTGTTGAGTCACATTAAACTGATATAATGTCATTAGTGTGAAGCCGACGGTGGAAAACCCACGAGAGCCATATCCAGCATATCTGTCTATGATAAAACAAACATGAGCGGTTTAATGAGTGTGTTTACATACTGGCACTGGAAGCATACTCTCCAATAAAACGTCTTGTCAGGAATCGCACCAGAACAGCTGGAGACAATATGAGAGCGAGAGAAAGCGAGTCAGTGTTTCCCTGCAGTGCAAAACGTCTGAATTCTGTCAGAGAAGGAGTGAACGTCTGTTAATGCTGCACTGCTATGGAAAAGAAAATACTTACTTTGACATGTTATAATATTAAAGAACACATGCAAGGTGTTGTGAGAAAAACAAACTATGTCACACATGTGAGAGAATATAACAAATATCACCAGTTTTCACGGAAGTGTCATAATTTTCAATATGAGTGTAAAAGAAGGAAAAGGAAAAACCTGAATGTTCATTGGCTGTTGCGTATTCTTGCTCAAATAATAGTGCAGTAGATTCACTTGTGTTAAAAAAACAAACAAGATGCAGTGAAAAGGTCATTTAATTAACTCTCAGCTAAAGTTTGTAAATCCTCCTGTTGGCTTCAATTGAGTCGAAATCACTTCATCAAGTTAAAATGTACAAGTCTCTGTTGTTTTCATGTGATTGGAAGCTTCATAATTCTATCGATTTTGTGCTCTGAAATCTGTCATGAGTTGTCCTAACTTATAATATTTATCCTGTATTTATTCTGTAATGAGCAGCATACCAGATATTAGATCAACACACATTGGATAGAGTCCATCTCATGCTCTGGACTGCTCAGAACTTACAGACAAAAGGAAAGATCAGCAAAGCAATGCAGTAAAATCAGTGTCAGCAGTGGGCTCACCTGTCTTTCCAGCACCTTCGCTGCCCAGCAGAGCCAGCTTGATGTCGCTCATGATGGTACGAGAGCTGCTAAAACGCTCCTTTGTCTTCTCTCTCTCCGTCCTACCCGCCACTGTACGAACTGCACAGACGTGTTGGAAGTGTTTTGGAAAAGCTGCTTCACCACCACACGTCTCCGCTGTGAAAGCTGAGTCTCTGCCTCCTTCTCAGCCAGCGGGAGAAGTTTGTGAAGCAGGGCGGCAAAAGGGTCAACCGACACAATCCCAGCGGTAGACGGGTTTTTAGACTTAAACATGCAGATATAATTTACCTTCCTGAGCTTAGCGGAAGATATTTTAAATATGCATTATACTTAGAATAGAATACTACATGTTAGTAGATATACATAAGGTATGTTGTGTACCAGGAGGACATTCTGTTTTTAAAAAAAAAGAAAATACACCAATCAATCAAGAGTCAAGATTCAAGATTTATTTATTTACAGTACAGTCTAGGCTCACTGGGCTCTCTTGGAGTTGAGTCAAAAACACCCAATAGGTGAGCAATAAAACAAGTAATTAAAGATAAAATATAATAAATAAATCTGAATGCTGCAGCCGAGGTGTGAAACCCAATCAAGGAACTACTCATATTGTACATCACAGAGGTGGAGGAGGTGGAGGAGGGTGACTGCACACGCTGCTCACATTTGCCGTCAGTCTCACCGTGGCAGGCAAACAACTGTTGTTCTGTTTAGTGTGTAATGATACTGTCCACTCTGCTGAGGTCAGTAAAGGATGGTGGTGATGTTAGGAAGCCTTGACCTCACTGATAACACGGACGTGTTCCTCAGACTGTAAAATGCCAGCAGATGTTTTTAAACCTAACATGCCAGTTGACCTCAGCAAAGCGCACCATCCAGCTTCCCCTCTCTGCCCCCTGCAGCACGAAAAAAGACTCCAAACTTTGATTTCGCCGGCCAGCTCTCATTTTTCTCTCCGTACTTTTCTCTCTCTGCCCTTTTCGCTGCTCACTAAAGGTCACGAAAGTGTCTCATTATTATCACGTAATGTTTTACTCCCAGTCTGCTGACTGAAAGGTCACAAACCTTGTTCACGTTTAAAACACAACAAGATGCCCTCCGACCAAACCGGTGTGCATATGACAAATTACTGCTGCGTGTCTCTGGTAAAGAAGAACAACAGATTGATATCGAGAAGAAAATCAGCAATTAAATGTGAATAGAGAGAGCGTTTAATCCCCGTCCTGGAATAAACAGCCAGTATTTTTACTGCCACTTGGACGCCGGCTGTACTCTGGGGGTCGTTCTATTTTAGTTTACTTACAACAACACTTCAACGCATCACCAGGGACTTGTCTTAAAAGTTCTGCTTTCGCCAGAAATCAATTTACCCATTAAGGTGCAGCCCTGCTTCTATTGTGTGACTAAATCTAAAACAGATATCCTGACACATAAAACCCAGTGTAGAGGAGTTCTGTGCCATTGTGAACTATTCCCCCTCAAATCTGAGTCCGTCACAATATTGTTTTATGTGCAAATAAACATTTTTTTAGTCAGAATTTAAAAACCTTTGGTCCACATTTTCCTGTGTGTGATGTGGGCCGGAGCCAGCGGCGTCCCCCGGGTCAGCCAGGCGCTGACATCATGTCTGAGCCCAGCGAGCTTCGTCTCTCTTTGTTTCGTGCTTTTCAGAAAATCTGAATCATCATTACATGGTATAAGATGTGTTGGTCCTTTTGTTTAAAATGGCCATGAAAAAGCATTTAGAAAACCTCTTGAAGCTTTTTAACTTGACGTTTGATTAAATCCACAGTTTTAACCGCAGCATTGTTTGTGCTTCGAGGGTTTCCAAGATCAGGAAATTCAGAGCAGACAAAACTAAATAGATCAAGATTAATGCAAGATTAAAGAGGACGTGGAGTAATGGAGTCGCCCATGTCGGCTTTTTAAACTTCTGAAACTGATTTCATGTTTTTCCCTGGATGAGGTCTTCCAGGAGGCAGCAGCCCTCAGGCTGATTGCTCCCCGTGGCCGTGGTCGTGGCAGTTTGATAGATGACGGCTTTAGGTTACAATCATGGTTAGAATCGGGGAGTGGCGACTTTAAAGGGCCAAATTCTGGCCAACAAAAGTCTGTCAGATCTCCTGCTTCGGCTCCTTTGTCTCTCCTGGAAGTCTGAGACTGTAAAGAAGTAGGAGGTGATCTATAAAAGTAAACATGCAGATACATGTGACTGATCATCTTTACTTCAGTGTGATTACAAGAAATGATAGGTCACTTTTTTTTAAGTGTCTCTACTTGATGCAAGTGTAGAAAATTCAACTAATTGATTTTTTAAAATGTCACAAAGGTCTCAGAAGTGATGCGACATTCGCTGAATGCTTTGTTTGAGCTGAAAGCCTGCTCGTCTCCCTGATACCTTTGTCTGCGTTAGAAGCTAAATTAGCGCTCCACACAAACTGTACCAACCTATGATGAAGCTGTAACATAATCAGAAGCTGTTGGGTTCGGACTGACTTGCACTGATGCCTGAATCCGTTGGGTTTGTGATATAATACAGTACAGTAAGATCTTGATCATCTCGGTGGCCTGAGGAGGACTTCGATTGTGAATCGGCGCTATATGAATCAAACTGAGCTGAACTGAACTTATTTGCATATTTGACGGATGTTCGAATGAAGATAAGGTGTTGACAAAGTTAGCATTAGTTCATGTTGAAGCACAGCACAGCTCATTCTGCCTGCTCTACAGATTAAACTGCATGTTTCTGTGCTCAGAATCCTCTTAAAACTGATCCTTCCAACAAACTACATTAGTCTTTTATTATGAAAATCTGCAGCAACACTGATTTGCTAATTGTGTTACTATTCATTTTTGTGGTATTTAACTGCATGCAAAAAAAAAAGAGCTTGTGCTGTCGGACAGTTTTCCACAAAATCATGTTTGTGCTCTTTTTACAACAACAGTTTCTAATGCGACCGCCTTTGCTTCAGCAGCCAGAGAGCCAAACCAGCACAATGTAATCCAACACAAACACGGTGGATTTATTATCACAGCACCTCAGAGGGGGATTCAAGCACGTGATCGCTCAATCATTTTGATCACTGAGTTCAACAGCAGCAGACACAATCAAATTCAAGCTGAACATGGAAGTCAGGGAGCCCAAAAAAACCCAAAACATCTTTTATTCACGACCTCCAAATCTGTCAGGAACCCAGAAGATAATGGGAAATTATATTATTGTGTAGAAATGCTTTTAGAAAATGTAGGAAAATGTTGTATTGTACTGATTCACCACCTCTCACAGTAAATAAAGTAGTTTAAAGCATGTTTTCTACAGTAGCTTGTGGAAAAGAGGCTGAAAAAGTCCCAACTATACGTCTATAAATAGCTGCGATTCATATTGTCCATTTTCTGCAACAGGAAAAACAAAAACAACGTTTTCTTGAATGCATTTTATTGATATTAAGATATGTGCATGTATCGCTGGCTGTTACAGTAAAAAACCAAAAGAAAACCTGAACCTGCTCTCATGAAACAGTGACTATAGTTTATCCCCTGAAACAATAAGAAATATCATCACTCCTACTGATGTCAAAAGAAGTAACATTTACTGTACATTCACTTCTTGTTGGGGCAGTATTTAAGTCAAGCAAAGTCTAGTTTAAGCTGCGGGAAGCAAATAAAGTAGATTTAAAAACAGGGATAAAGCCGTCGGTCGTGTATAAAGAGGCTACAGCATTATTATAAAACCACATATTTCCTTTCAACAGCATGGCTCTACAAATACCGAGGACATGTTTTATTTATAATAACCAATACTGAATGATATCAATACCTTACACTTTTATTACGCCTGAGATATTTAGATAAGAGAGTACAAGATTTCGCTGAAACACTGGTGAAACACACACAAACGTAATTCATGGTTAAATGTAAAACTGACGTGTTCTCTGATTGGTTAACGAGGACGTTAAATCCTCTGATAATGCGTTTGCCCTGTCGAGCCTTAACACCGGCTATAGTAGCTCACATTCTGCATTACTCTGTTCAAAAAGACAAAGTGGACACGATTCGCTGCCGCTTTTCAAAAAAAAAGCTACCGACACACGTAATTATATCAATAATCAAACCTAAGATAATTGCCTGCAATCATTTCGTAATTAAAAGGACACATATAGTAAAATAAAGTTCTATACAGTAACACGGGTATAAATATCTTGAACATCTATGAATATGGTAAACACTGAATTTACCAACATTAAAGTCTCAAAGTACAGTGTATAGTCAGGGCTAGGTTTGCCTAAAAAAGTCCATTTATCAGAGATGCAAAGTGAGATTAATAAACATCCAACTACAGCATCCAATAAAGCATGACATAAGGTATGTAAGGGACTGATGTTACTACATAAAACAGTAAGCAGTGCAGTGCATATGCAGCGGATCATCACTGGCCAAAATATGATATGATAAAGTACCTACTACAGCGTCACCTCGCTACCTTAATGTGCTTTATGGCTGCACAAGCAAACTCTGTATGACATCCAAAGAGTTCCAAATATGTAGCATGTTCCCTTAACTTAACTTCAATGTTTACACCCTCTGCTCGGCTGAAGTCAGCACAGATCAAATCCTTCATAACTTCAAATATCTGAAGTATTGTTTCACTTTGTTCGGCTGCCATCAGATGGCAGCACCGTCATATCACTCCAAACCACAACCCGGAGCTGCTTTTAGATTGCAGGCTGGCACCGCTCTGGCAGTCCCACAGGCTGCTCGATAAAAAACAGCATAACTACGCACAAAAACAGCATTTTTTGCGACCGTGATTGCGCTCCATTCACCTCCGGCTAGAAGTGATTTCTCCTCGACTTCAGAGACTGTCTCCTCTTCCTCTTCCTGTGGCATTGCTCCCTCCTCTCCGGCCAGGGAAAACCGCCCTCAGCGGTCCGGTACGCCTCATCGTACTCGTCGCTGTCAGAGTCTGCCTCGGTCACAGAGAAAACTCTGTCCGGGAAAACCTCTTTCAGCTTGGAGGTGAAGAACGTCTCGAGGCTGCGGCCTGCTTGGGCCACCTCAGAGTCAGGCTGTGGTCAGAGAAGAAAAAAAAGAGCTATTACAGTCACGTCAACGGTCGTGAAGCACTGATCACCACATGTAGAGCTGCAAACCAGGATCATTTACGACACAAACAAAGAGTTTTTCAACTTACATAATTAAATTTCGCACAGTTGCGGAACATGAGGTACATATCAGCAACAAACTGATCGGGTGAGCTGTAATGTCGGCCGTTTGCCTTGTTGAGTCTGGCTCTGATCACAGACAGGTCCATCGGCCTCTTGATGATCTGGTAGTAATGACGCGCCTGCATGGAACAGCATCGACACTCAGATCGTCTAAAACTCATTTCACATCGACATCAAAACACTTCCGCCTTTAATAATGAATGAACAAGCTGCATTGTGTATCACTGACACAGATGTGCCTCCACCTCTGGATGAGGTACTCGCTCGGTAAATAACTGGAGCCTAACCTGAGAGCATACTTTAAAAGCTGACATTTGTCTTGAACCCACGAGGATGTGGCAAAGTTTGGTGGTAACGCACCAAGACATGCAGCGGAACAAGAAAACTGCTATCAGATGTAAACATGAATATAAACAAGGCTCAAATTATCTAAAAAAAAAAACAGTTTAAGCATTTTATAAAGAACAAAATGCATTTAATGATATTAAATGTACTAAATGCTTATTTTGCAGGATAGTGCAACTGCATGGTTTGGGTGGAAATTGATATATTTTAATTTATTTGTCACTGCAACAAATAAACCAACAAATCTCTTACATTTGGAGAATACGATGTGTAGGCAGGGCTGTATGTTGTGACACACGTTACCTTTACCAAAAAACTGCAGCTCCTGTGATTTGAATGTTGCATTTAGCTAGTTTGAGATATTATTTTAATTGTTCAGTCCTACATTCATTGAAGTGTGCACACTCACTATGCTTTGGTGAGAAAAACAAAATTAATAGGAACATCTGGGAACCTATAAGCCTCCACACTCTGACAGATATACCTCCACAGATCCAAAACATGAGTTGAACTCTGCACGGAGCAACTGTGTGTCTGTGAGTACAGTGATAAATAAATGATCATTTACTGTAACTGGGCTGTAAGTAAATGCGTTCACTCACAAGTGGACTGACGGGCTCGTGGAACGGTGCACTCAGGATGTTACTGAGGATCAGGAGAGTCAGCCGCTCGCATTTCTGCAAAACAGTCGAACAAACAAATTCAGGAAAATGAACACAGTCATAGAAAAACACACACAAGCCTGAAATGAGCCAATGATGCGACGTACTCTCTGGTCACATGCAGACTGTCCGTGTGCTGCTGTGTGCTGTCCAGCTCCTCTCTCATTCTCACAGTTGTACTCGACCTCCGGCAGCACAACATCTCTGCAGAGGCTGCACACCCAGTCACCTCTAGACCCGACAAGACACAGCATCAGGTTAGCAACAACCAAATAATCTATGAGAGGATAACGTTTATGTTTCAGGTTGTGAGAAGCTTACGAGGGAAAGCTCAGCAGAGACGGGATGTGGCAGGACAGGTGGAAGACCCTGGGACAGCGGTCGCAGCACAGCAGGTCGCCTCCGATGAGGCACACGGCGCAGAAGTCCTCGCTCTCCATCTCTATGCTGTCCTGCTCGTTCTGGACTTCCTCTGCGCTCCTCTGAGGGTTTGCAATCAGAAGCGGCCTCTGACCAGGACCGATGTGGGACTCCTCTTCCAGGTCGGAGCGAAGCGGTTGCGGGTCGTCGGTTCTCGGTTCGGCGTCAGAGTCTACGTCGAGCTCAGACTCCACGGAGCCTTGAGAGTCCGGAGGCTGGTCGGACACGGCGTCGGAGTCGGTCTGAGAGGTGGGATCGTATTCAGGCTGGATGTCGGACTCGGTTTCAGCATCACCCGATTCTGCGTCCAGCCCTTGGCCCTCCTCTGATCCTGCTCCTGGGTCTGATTCTGGGTCTGCCTCGTATTCAAGGCTCGGCTCTGAATCCCCGCACAGCCTCATGTCTCCTGCAGCGGCAGCCGACTCCTCCACATCGAGAGATTCGAGTTCAGCCTCAGAGGAAGACTGTGCATTCGGGTCGGACTCGGGCGACGTGTCCGAGTCCAGCTGCAGGTCCGGATCCACCTGAGAAACAACTGCATCCTCTGAGACCGACCTGGGATCAGAGTCAGAGTCCAGATCCAGTGACACAGAGAAACTCTGTGGCACATACTTAGAGTCAGCGGAGGGCAGAGTGGCTGCTGTATGAGAGCTGAGTCTGCCTCTGTTGGCGTGGCCGTCGAAGTCGCCGTTGACGGAGTGCGTGGCCGACAGACTATGAGTTTGTCGCTCTGCATACGGCGGCGCTGTGAGTGAGCGGGTGGTCCTCCTGGTCTCTGAGCCTCCAGCTATCTCCTGAGTTTATGAGAGAACAGAAGATAAACAGATTATTTTCTCACTGGCAGTCATTGTTGGTAACACCGTAAAAAGATGACTAATGCACACTGAGGACGGAGGACACGGCCAAAATATCTGTGAAACATTTTACTCCCATATGCTGAACGTGAGAAACCGTAAATAAGTGATGAAAGAAATGAGCATTCATACATTTGGGTGTAGTAGACTAGTCAAACCTGTAGATAACGGTGCATGTTACTATTCTGGCATTCTGTAAATAGTATAAATTATGAGGATTAAGTTAAAGATCCTCTTACAAAGGAGCATATGAAGCTACCACTAGAAGCTGGTTAGCCTAGCTTAGCACAAAGACTGAGAATAGAGGGAAACTGCTAGCCTGGTTCAATCAAAAAAAAAAAGTGGTTTGTTCAATCTTGTTCAGAAACAAAGTGTAAAGGGCGCCCAGATAGCTCGGCAGGTTGGGCGGGCGACCCACGAACAGGGGCAGAGGTCGTGGGTTCTGGTCCGGCCCGTGACCATTTACTGCAGGTCCTCCCTCCACTCTTCCCCCCATACTTCCTGTCTCTCTCTCGCCGCTTTCAACTATTATAAAGGCTAAAAAATCCCCCCCAGAAAAGCCCAACTTTAGGCTTTAAAAAACAAACAAACAAAAAAACACTAATCTAAATCAAATACCTGCTGTACATCCACAAATGCAGTCATTAATCATTAATAGCCTATATTTTAAAAATGGGGCGGCTGTGGCTCAGGTGTTAGAGCCGGTTGTCCTCCAATCACAAGGTTGGCGGTTTGATCCCCTCCACAGTCAAAGTGTCCTTGGGCAAGACACTGAACCTGCAGTTGCCCCCAATGGCAGCTCTGTCCCCATTGGTGTATGAATGTGTGTGAATGGGTGAATGAGAAAACATTGTAAAGCGCTTTGGATAGAAGCGCTGTATAAGTGCAGACCACTTACTAAAAATGTTTCTCCACATTATTGCTGTGGTATTTTTTCAGACCTCACCTCGGGCGTGGCGTTGTGCCAGGTCCTCTGCTGAGGGAACGAGGGAGCGTCGCTCTTGTCCGTCCCGCTGGCAGGCAGCGGGTCGCTCTGTCTCCGGCCGTGTGGCGGCAGCTGAGACACGAGTATTTTGAGGCGCTCCAAGCAAACCACCGGAACCTTTGGCCTCCCTGAGTCCTTCTGAACATCTCTCGTACTTCAGAGGCAAGCAGACAATGAACTGTGAGAGCTATACTTTGTTTTCATGATTTGGAAAGATGTTCGACTCGTCAGATGTTACCAACCTGCTGTGGCTGCTTCTCGGCACCCTGCATTTCTCCTGGGCTTCATAAACAACCTCTTCGTTAACAGAAGTGAAAGGATGATCTACGATAGAGAAAGAGGGACAATCATTCAGAAACTTCTGTTTATGCTAGAATATAGAAAATAATCGAATCGTATTTTCACCCACCTGGCTCTGTCTTGTAGGACAGTAAAGGAGACAGGTGTCTTCTGGACGGGCTCAGGTCAGGTAACGTTTCCTTGACAACACAAAGCACCCCATCCGAAGCTCTCCTCTGTCTGGGATCCATGATGTCGTACTGAGAAGGAAATAAACATCTCATAAAACTATCCAGGTCACAAACAGCAGAGGAATCAGAGCTGTCAGTTTGTGGGTCATTCCACCTCAAATGGTTAAACAGAAATGAGGCGAGTTGAGATAAAATATATAAAAAATTAAACCTGTCATGAAAACTCCCGTCTCTGAGCACACATTAAGAACAAAAACGATAATGCAGAAGTCAGCTAGTGATAGTTTCTGAACCATACACAATAAAACAAAACAAAACTTAAAGAATATGTTTTTATATGAAATACTTGACCACAAGAATGAACAAAAACTGATTATTACTGAACTTTCATAACTGATTAATCAGGTATGAAAAGCTGTAACACGGAAACATATAAATGTCTAAATAGCCGAGTACAGCCGAAGAGTAGAACAGAGCTCTGGAGTTTCAAAATCCATCCTTCCATCATCTCTACACCTTAATCCTCACTAGAGTCGTGGGGGGCTGGAGTCTATCCCAGCTGACTCAGGGTGAAGGCAGGTTCACCTGGACAGGTAACCAGCCTATCACAGGGCTGCAAGGCAACAGTGCCAACCACCGATCTACCTTGCAGCCCTGATTCTGCATGTTCCATTTAAGAATCAACCGTTATTAAACTAACTAAAAAATACTAATAATTCTGCACTCCTTGGCCCAACCGTGCAGCCATTAGTGACTCAGCTGTGAGCCACAGTCACATGCTAAAACTTTATTGACTTTTTGGATGAACTGTAGGCAGACAGGGAGGATATATGTATGGAAATAAATAAACCATGTAAGTAGTAAAATATCTGTAGTATGTACAGTCAGTTATTTTCAATACTGGTAACACAAACAAACCAAATAAATTATCATATATCTATATA